AGCATTTAAGGGCGGATTTCATCAGTTCCAGCAGCCTTTCTGTTTTTCAAGGTTTTCACAGCTCGTGCAATTTCTTCTGCACAGATAGTAATATCCGTACTCTTCTGCTTTACAGGCGAGTCTTCCTGCGATTTCTGGGGGTTGAGTTCCTCAAAGTACTCACCCTCCATCGCTGAAGAATGTCATCATCCTTGGTAAGAGGGTGTCCAGACCTTTCCTTCAAGATTCTCAGACTGCCCTTCTTTTGACCTCGGAGCCGGCGGATGGTCTGCCGTAATACTTTGTTTGCCGTGTAGAAATTCGACTCCAGCACCTCCCCGAACTTCTCCCAGGAATCAGCTTTGGCTTTCTCCACTGCTTTGGCTGTCGCCTCGACATATCGCACTCGAGTAGAAGGCTTTTTGTTTCCAAGCCATTTCTTGAACTCTGCTTTCTTCTCTTTAGCTGCCAGTTATGCTTCTCGTATCCACCAGGAAGATCTTTTGTGTCCTCCAAGTGGCAGGCCAAACCGTTTATATCCGCAGAATTTGACTACAGCCTCGAGTATGCCGCTTTTAAAGCGCTCCCACTCGGTTTCCACATAACCAGTCATCACCGGGATCTGTTCAAACCGTCGTGCAATGTTGTTTACAAATTTCGGTCTCTTGTCCACCGAAGATAATGTTTCTCATTTGATTCTCTGGTTGCTTCTGCCACCAGATCTGCGAATGATACTCTATTTCTTACCGCGCAGCGTACCAGGAACAAGGTGATGATCTGTTGATAGCTCTGCGTCTCTCTTAACGCGAACATGCATTGCTTATAACATAACGTGATGACATCTGCAGTCAGTGACAATGAGCATGTTGTATGTCTGCAATGGCAAGGCATTCCCTTAGACCATATACAGATGAAGTCATTTAAAATTCGCCACAAAATGCCCGTTCTGTCCGTATCTAGGAGCTATCCACGTTCCACGACATCGTTTTAAGACGATACTTTGGAGGCAGCATAAAGTTTTGGTTATATCGAAGGCCTTAGATAGAACTGTGGTGTCACCATTCTTGTAAACTGGAATGTCTGCTCTTTGACTGGAAGTGAACAGGGCTGTTTGAAAATGTTCAACGTTACCAGGGTAATACAAGTGAGATATAACTTTCTTCGGAGCGCCACTATTTCAGTGTCTTTCTTTCAATGGTAGATGAAAGTTCTTCTGCGCTAATGTTTATCTGGATATATCAGCAGTAGCAGGGGTGAAGATACTGTCGTTCCCGCCTGTAACAGTTAAGCCATTGAACGGATTTCTCCAGGGATGAAGAACAATCCAGATTAGAAGAGGTCCGCTGAACTAACTCCAGAATTTTTCTGCAACAGAATTCATTCTTTAGTCTTTTAAGTTTATAGAAGATGTACAGCAACCGTCCCTCATACGATTAGCATTTTTAT